TTGCAGATGAGAGGCTGGCAAGTGAGGCGGGGAACGTTGGAGTCTGCAGCAAGCAAGCCTCGTGCTCGCTTCAGTGCCTGGCTGCCGGCCGCCATCTTGGCTGACAGTTAATTTGCATATACTCACTGATTAGCCAATGAAAAGGGTAGCGGTCGTACGCCAATTACCATGTTTCTCTTTTATTAGTGTAGATATGAAATGTAATTGCTTTTCTAATCACATAACTAAGTTACACCTAATATGTCAAGGATTATTTAAAAAAAGCAATGTACAGGGAAATAGACTGTCAATTTGAAATTTCAATTTTTTTAGTGCTTATTAATATAATAAATATTTCTAGTAAGTCCTTTATAACACTACTGTTGTGGTGAGGTGGAATGGCTTCTCAAAAGGCAAGATCTGAGAATATGTAGTTGAATATGAATGGGTGCATGCACACTTCCTTGACTAAAGCCAGGCAGATAGGAAAGGAGTTTCTACTTGTATCTATTGCCAGTAGAAACTTTAGAAAACTATTACATAATGAAATGGTTTACTGATGTTACAGAGCACTTTATTACAATAATCTAAATATCTTGATATAATCTTGAAAAATCTATAAATTTCATGTTTGTATTTATATGGTTGATTAAAATCTTCATATTATTTTAACATACCTAGCATTATGCATCCAACAGCCTTGCTAACAATTCTACTTTATTTACATGAATTGGATTTGATTTCTGGGCACGTGAAAAGCTGATCTTCAACACAGATATTTCTCCTGTGTCTAGGAAAGAAGTAACATTTGCTTTTGTCTTGGCCTAAGCTCTCCAGATTAGCTTTTAAATCGCCAGTGGAGACTTTAATAGTACATAATTGCATCACAACAATGCCATATTTTATGATAGAATGCTAAAAGGAGATCCTTTTGTGTGCATGGGTAAAAGAGGCTTTTAAATCTCTTCTGGAAGTAATTCCTAGGGGAATATCAGAGGATTTGAAATGTGGTTTTTGTTCATCACCATTACTTCTCATCTGTCCTTCTTTAGGTCTTTTCGTCTCTCTTCATTCCTCTTAGATTCTTTAACTTCTGTGATATATATAATCATTTGCTCCTTAATTATGATTATGGCTCAATGTGAATATCATAGTAAATATTTTTTGATGGTGATAACTTTAGAATACTTCATTTCAACAGCTATCCTCATAATGCAGTATTTTTGTGATAGCTGAGATTTACTTTTTTTTTTTTTAATATATATTTTTTTTATTGCTTAAAGCATTACAAAGGGTATTACATATGTGTCCTTTTTTCCCCCGCCCTTGACAATTCCCCGGCTTCCCCTACCCCCCAGTGTCTTATGTCCATTGGTTATGCTCATATGCATGCATACAAGTCCTTCGGTTGATCTCTTACCCCCCTCCCTCCTGCCCCCCAACCCTCCC